GGATCCCCATGGATCCTCGTGGATCCTTGTAGATCCCCATGGATCCTGAAGTTTATGAGGATCCATGAGGAGCCACCAGGATCCGCTTTTTCCCCCTTGCTTTTATCCCATGATTACATAGTGGTATGTTTCATTTTAAATAATTCTCTACTATCGATTATGTTTTTGTACTTATGATATTTTTAGTTTACTTATCAATTGAATTATATTCATAGATTACAATCAATCTTAAGTCAATTATCAACAAACAGTCTACAGCCTAACCTCCAGTTTAAGTAAAAGATGCGTAAAGATCTAGCAGCTAAACTCTATGCTGATTATCCTCACTTATTCTGGCAAAGATCACTTCCAAGAAATCAGTCTTCTATGCATGATGGTTTATGCATTAGCGACGGATGGGAACCAATTCTGAGACAATTATGTCAGCAGTTGACCAATATTTTAGTTAATGACATGGGACTTGATCTTGCTTCACCAGACGCAAAACAGTATGCTTTTACACAAGTGAAGCAGAAGCTTGGAGAACTTCGAACTTATATGACGAATACCACACCCGCTATGAAGAATGCTATTGACGATGCTGAGGATAAAGTGGCTCGGACGTGCGAATCGTGTGGAGAACAAGGCAGTACCAACGAAGGATTAAGTGGCTACATAGTCACATTATGCGCACGTTGTGCAAATGATACAAGAAATAATCGATGACGATGAAAATCTAGCGCAAACCCATATAAAACTTTTCTGCAAAAACTATATTGACTTTTTTTATTGCTGACAAACAGTTTCAATGATTATTCTCAATTAGCTAATATCTAATCGCATTGAGTCCTACTAAATTCTAGATTATTAATCTATAAACATGATCTATTTTCCTTTTGATTCGATACACGTTTAAAAATAAGCTAGGATATTTTCATGATTTTACTTTGTAATAATATCTCAGTTTGTTTGAAGAACTTCTATTTCTTGTATAAATGATAGAGATAACAATGTCCTTGCACAACTATTGTGTAATATCTGAATATAAAAACAATCTTTACTATGAAAATTGTTATTTGATATCAGTCAGTATGAATAAAAAGAAAAGACAACAAGATACTATGTTAAATAATTGCGCTGATGATGATGGTAAAGTTAAAAAATTACGAGGGACTTTATTGACAACAAATAATCCGGATATAAGGTTGGTGATATTTATAATTTGATTTTTATGATCTATCGTTTCTTTTTAAGAATTTTTGAAGATATTTCCAATGAACTTCTCAAAGAAGTTTTTGAATATTTTGATGGTTATGAAATTTATTATAGTTTTTTCAATCTCAACAAACGATTTCAAAATTTATTAACAAGTTCAACTCTTCGAATTAAAATACATACGTCATTCATATCCAAACGAATATTTCAAAAGTACTATACTCATTTCATCGAACCATATAAACATCGAATTAAATCACTTTATTTATCAAATCCATGCACTATGCATCTGTTCTCCGATATTTCACAATATTCTCAACTCGAAAATCTTCTTCTTGAGAATACAGAATCACAATATTTAGAAAATATTCTTCTTCATATAACTTCTTTAACAAATCTTTCTTCATTAGTCATTCATATTAATGATAATTCAAATCAAATTCAAATCTATAATCAAATATTTCTTTTACGGACATTAAAATATTGTAAAATATCCTTCGACAAAAATATGCAATTAAAACAATTACCTATTTCTACTAATATTTCAAGTTCTATTGAACATCTTGTCATTATTGGTAAATGTTATCTTATTGAACTTCATAATTTTCTATCATATCTTCCTCATCTTTACCGTTTATCTGTCAAATATATAAATGCAGTTTACAATCAAATTATAGAAAATTATTCATTTATTTCAAATAAATTAACTTTCGTTTCTCTCAAATTAGATACTGTTAAATTTGCTAATTTTGAAGAATTTGCTAAAAATCATTTTAATCAAGTAAAACAATGTTATATTTCAACAACTCGTGATATGACTTATTTAGAAGCGAATAAATGGGAACAATTAATTATATCGTATATGCCATATTTACAAATCTTTAATTTACAGCATACAATAAAGAATTTTTGTGATTATCCTGAAGATATATTCGAAACTTTATTTAATGATTTTAATTCTCAGTTTTGGCAAGACCGACAATGGTTATTTAGATATGAACCTAATTCTGGAGAGTATCAACAATGAATATTTCATTCAATTCAACCATATAGGTAAAAAAACATAAATCAATGTAATCGTAAGCACTACATGTTTTGTTTTTTTTTGAAGAAAAAAATATTTTTCAATTGCTAATAACCCAGAGAAGATTAGATCTGATGTAGAAACTCTTCATTCAGTTCGTCATGTTATCATTCAAGATCATCAATCAATAACTAATTGTTCAAAATATTTTCCAAATATCGATAAACTTACACTTGCCGATCGTTGTTCTCTTCATTCTAAATGGTTTGTAACTGATAAATTTCATCAAATGATTCCTCTAAAGCATCTAACTCAACTTAATATCGATATTCATGATATTTATTTTCATGAACTAGTCCATATATTGTTTTATACACCTAATATTCATACACTAAGATTGAAATCAATTAAACTATTTACGAAAGAAGTTTCATCATTGCAAAAAGATGAAATCTCTGAACTGAAATTAAATGAAAATAAAATTACAAATATAACTATTACAGATGATTATTCACTACGGGCAATTAAAATATTAATGAAATTTTGTTCGACATTGCAACATATTACTATTGGAATTTTCCGAGATTCTTTACTGCCAACGGTTCGTTTTTTATTGTCGGAAAATATCGAAACCTTATCATCATTATGTATTATTGGAGTGGATATAATGTGGAGTGAAAAATTGAAAAGTCTAATCGAATCAGACAAGGATCATAATGATTATTCAATAAAAACTATTTCTGACAAATTTTACCTATGGTGGTAACCAAAGATGTGTGAGACATATTTCAATTCAAGTTTAACCGTTCGAACCGGACTCGAAACCAATGAAAAAACATTTTTTTCTAGTTCTTTTTATAACCATCTCTGATCCACATCCACACACTCATCCATAGACAAGATGTATTAAGTTTATTACAGCCATTATATTCTTATAATAAAGACAAACTAAAGATAGATAATTTGAATTTGATAGCAGATGTTGTTTTCTGTTATGATACAATAATGATATGATGACGATTATGGATGTACCTGGAATGAATAGCATGACATCCTCACTCATTTAATATGTAAATGCGTTGAATGACAAAACACTTCTTCACCAATGAAGGATAGAAATCTATTAAAATACCAATAAGAAGATTTTCAATACCAATGCATTTAATCTACGAGATATTTTTTAACTATTGGGAATATTTACCAATAGAAACTCTTCATTCATATCGATTTTAACATGTAAAAGAAGAAATAGAAAATGAATATGATAAATATCTCTGCAGACAAAGATTACAATAATTATAATTCATTAAAAACAAATCCTGAACGTATATTTTTCGATGTACATAATCTCGAGAATATAAGTATTTATATCGTTTCTTTTTCATGTCAAAAGAGATTATTACTATTTAAAATTGACAATTTCAAATTCTATCTATACTGTATGATATACTTTATTAATTATTGCTCGAAGAAGAGAACTGTTTTCAATATAATTTCATAAATGTATTGTTTTAACAGATCGATATAGACACATCACATACCACGAACAATAGAAAACATATGTGATCATGTATAATATTAGGACAAAAGAAATTAAAAAAATGTATACTATAATATATGTAGTTGAGTCATTGAAATGAATGTCTTAGTTTATTATAGCTCTTGGAGCAATAACTCGCCGATTACGTTTCCAAATACACAACGCCCAAAGTTTCTGTTTTAGTTCAGGCAATGTAAGTGAAATAGCAAATGGAACAATAATAGAAGGAACAAACGTTAGACGTGTTAAATATGGCGACCAAATATAATTCGCAAAATTTGGATAACCAGACAAGTGAATAATAGAAACGACTATAGAAGGAAGATCACATATACTGTAGGCTGCAGATACTAATACAAGTTGAAGAGTCATTTTTCGACAATGACGCCATGTCACGGCTTGTTTCATTCGTTGTCTTTGTCTTATAAATCGAAATAAAAGTGTAATACTACAAACACCGATTAACAATACTGGTAACACATTATCGACGTATGAATCATATAATTGAAGCGAATTGAGAGCATCAGTATAGAGACATATTATACCACAACGAACTTCTGTAGCAGCAAAAGTCTGACCACATGAATACAGAAAAATCAGATAAAAGAACAACATTGGCGTATAAAGTGAGAAAAATGCTAATGGAATATAATGAATAAATAAACGCCTACGTGGAGTTGCAACTAATCTTGGATGAAATATAAGAATATGTCGTTCAAATGATGCCCAAAACATTACTGAAACAGCTCCATACCATATTCCATGATCAATAAACTGCCAAATACGACAAAGAACAGGGTTGAAAAGTGATACATATCCAAGACGATTAAAATCCAATGTCATCGTTAGATCAAGTGTAACAATAAGAAAATTGTAGAATAACAATATGATCATAACATGATTGTGAAGAGTTTTTTGTCTATTTTTTTCAGTTAGAAGATGATAAAACACGAATAGATAACAAGGAATTGAAACAATGATACCAAACAAGAGTAGTGAAAATTCAAGTTTTGACCAGAAATATGGAACATTTGATGACGTTGAAGGAAAGTTTCCCATTGTTTTTTGAAGAAATTTTTTTAAAAATCTATTCAAATATCTGAATAAAATTTACAATCGTCAGACCTGAAGATATTAAAATATTAATTTATCGTTTCCTAAGTGAACAATATACAGAATTTTATCTCATTAGTAAAAAAATACACTGAAAATGTTACAGACAGTTTTTTGTTTTACTTTCAACTACCTTTATTAGTACGAAGGTAAATACTTGAGTATTCATGAACTTTTCTTAATATAAGTGCAAGTCATTAATGTTAGAAGGACATAGAAGAAAGGGAGTTTCATCGGCAAGTAAATGAAATAATATTAATTAAGAGATAAAAGAATATATATATGTATTTCTAAAAATAGGTTCAAAGATAAAATCTTCATCTTTTCTATATATTTATATATTAATAAAGAACGAAAAATCCTTTCTTCATTTTTGTCATTTAATATTTGAAATTGAATTTTGAAAACAGTAAACTACAAACAATCGTCAAATTCAATAGTCTGAATCACAGAATGATGCTTGGTGGTTCTTAATTAATATCTGAAATAGCTATTATCGAGCAAGAGTAATTAGTACTAGCTCAAATGAGACTATTGCATTACTGATACTCTTAGTTTTTTAAAAGACATTATTATCATAGAACATTTTTAGTTTTCTTATCTGTCTTTTATTTACATTCCTCAAAATACATTGTGATTAAATATATATTTGATACTAGCTGAATTTTTTCTTGTTGAATATTTAGTATTTCCCGAATCTATTACTGTGTTATAAAAGAAACAATAATTCTGTATTTGCGAGGTAATTATGTTCCACTGAAGTGAGTTTGACGTCTCACTGCGTTCTGTTTGATCAAATGGTAACAGTTAATCGCTTTGATGAATATATATTTAACAAGATAGAGACATGTTGATTTCCTCATTATAAATTCATTAATAAACTGGATGGCACTCGAGTTTCGCTCGACTACGAAAAAACGATTTTATGGCTTTCAGACATTGCTGAACATTCGCGATTGTCGTAGAATTCTTGTGATATTTATATCTCGCTGATGAGTGGGCGAGGGATGATTATAATATCTATATCTACGCTCACACTCTCAAGATGAACGATTGTTAAAAAATACATGCTCATGAGTAACATGTTACTCTTCACTACATTTGCTATTTATATGAGAATGGAACACTGTAAGATTTTCAAAAACTTCATATAATTTATTGTTTTAGAAACAAGAGTTTGTACTTTAGAGAAAAGAAAAGAACTTTGATTAACAAACGTTTAATTAAAAATACAAGATATGAAGTATATTAATTCTAATAAATTAAAATTTTCATTTATATCAATTATTATTTTCAACAATTATTGTGTAATATATTATAAAGACGTCAGAAATTGATTTAGTTTTGAAAAATAATTTTTTGATTGTTAAACTATTTCCAGATAGAGAATTTTCAAATTGTAATTCGAACTAAATTATTGAAAGAAAAATATAAAGTATTATAATTGTTCAATAAGAAATATTCATCTTGTATAGCAATGCCTGTTTTATATCAAGACAAAATATTACCTATATGAAATAGTTTGAAGGCATAAATTTTGAATTTAAGATTAGCTTTTGTAAATAATCAATAATGAGAGAAAATTTTATCATGTTTATTTACTTTCTTTAGCATATGATTTAGTTCGTTCTTTTAAGGCCCCCCCCCACTCAAAAAAATCGACTTTCGTCAAAAAAATCGAAATG